CCCGACGTGACCCCATCTTTTATATTTTGCCAAAAATGTGGGTAATAATAACTGTTTGATAACATTGTAGGGAAAACAGTTTTTTCCCCAAATTTTCGGTACTTTTTTCATTATATAATAAAAAATAAAACCAAAAGAAAGCTCTATCTGTCCCCAAAAAATTGTATAAAATGTATTTCAGTACAGTGTTGTATGACTGAATAAATGTCATTCAAAGTACCGCAGCGCTAAATACTGAAAAATGGCCTGGACAGGAAGGGGGTGTAAACACCCCTGTCAGCAAGTGGTTAAAGAACTTCCCATCAGAAAATGGTTAACTGTTTTTTGGAGTCTTTGTGGGATATGAGAAAAATGGTCTTGACTGCTCCATTCCTGGATGTGTAAAGCTTGGTAAAAAGTCCTTCTTGATTTTGCTGCTTAGCTAGCAAAGCAGCAGATACCCGTGCATGCTCTGCATCAGTGGCAATCCAAATTGTAATCCTTATTGAGATTGTAAACGCAGCAATTTGTTCTCCACAAACTAAGCACACAGCTTTTACATTTGACAGTAAATAAATAGAAGTCCATGTCTTGTTAAAAACTCTACATTCTCTATCTCTCTTTTGTAAACATGAGCTAACAACAAACCCAATGCGACAGGCCAACAAATGATAGACAAGATCAAACCAGGACAGATACCAGACATCCATCTGAAGTCCCTACAATAGGCAGGAGGTGGAACAGGCTGCAGGAGAGGATGGAACAAGATGCTCTTCAATCCTCCTGTAATGCTGGGGTGGGGAATATATTTGATGGCACTGGTTGGAAGGACAGCCTGGCAGTCTTAGCAACCTACGACTGCAGAGAAGGTGGGCACATGACATCATTGGGTTCTAGGTCACCTGTAGTCCTAGCAACTGGCAACTAAAGCAGAATAGGCCTGCACTGGGCTATGGCTTTCAGTGGATCATCCAGCCTTGGAGGCCGGCACATCCACTGATAGCCAGCCATAACCATGCACAGGTAGGCAAATGGTCCTTGTCAGGACTATGAGCCAGACTGAGACAGCCAAGGGCTGGATGTGGCCTGTGGGCCCTGAAATGCCTTGGTCTGGTATATGGTATACTAAATCTGTTCACTATTGAAATTTTTTGTAGAAACTCACATATAAAACAGTGACAGCCGGCTGGCTACCGCATTAAAAGTCTGTCTCCTTAGACTGAGAGTGTGACGTCAAAGCCCGCTCCGACACGTTTCGTCGTTACAACGTTGTCAAGGGATAGCAGGTCTGATTAGTCACACTCCAGTCTTCATTTATACCCCAGGGCTTACGAGCAATCTAATAAAACACCTTCAGGTGCTAGATCAGTTCAACCGCAGGGAAAATGTTTCTATTTAAATACTTTACTATCACCTCACAAACCCCTAAACATCACCATCTACCCGTAATTGCGGGTATAATGTATTAAGCCTTCAAAATAAGATTATTAAATAAATATCAACTCATTCCCAAAAGTGGCAGGGACTGAAGCCATTGTTCTCACATTCAATGAGCTGCAGGAGCCATTAACACTGGCCGCGGCTAATTCATATGCTAATTAGGAGGTTTGCATAATAATGAGTCGCGGTATTCATATGCAAATCCCGCCATGCCTCATTAATATGCAAATTGCCCTCCCCACTCCAAGGCCACTTAAAAGAGAACTATGGGGTTAAGGCTTTTCCCCATAGTTCTCCTTAGGGTAACGGGAGGACACAAACTAGCGTCCTCCCATCACCCTAGGCTCAGTATACCACGAGCTGTAGCTCGCGATATACTGAGACGCCGCAGTATACCGCGAGCTACTGCTCGCGGTATACTGAGACGCCGCAGCTGAAGCGAATCCCGACAATTATGCCGGGATCCGCCCAGCTGCGTGACTGACAGCTGGCTCTGCCTATCTAGAGGCAGAGCCAGCTGTGCCTGCCCCCTCCCCTGTCCGTTTCGCCAGTCAGCGCTGGCGGAGCGGGGAGGGGGGGGAATCCAGCCCCTCCCCTGTCACGGCAGAGAGCTGTGACAGGATCGAGAGGTGAGCGAATGCTGGTATGTGTTCGCTCACCTCCCGATCTACTGAGCCGACCTGTTAGTCTCATTGTCACAGGTCGGCTAGAACTATGAGGTGAGTGAAAATCACTCACCTCATAGTTCTCCTTTAATGAGGGTGGTGGGACAGGGGGAAGTCGGGTCCTAAAGTTGCGTAGAGAAAAAGGGGGCACGGCTTGTTCACCCCATATACAGTGTGTTTTAGTACGGTTAGCTGCTGTAACGCACCATCGCATAGAAAACTCCCCTTTGCGTTCTGGAGCAGGAAGGGGTGTGGTAGTGCACTGAAGTCAATGGCACCCCCGCCACGCCCCCCGCCCATAGTGGCACATTAGTGCCTTGTTGCGGTCCAGTGCCATCTGAAAAAATCCATACAGTGCGTTCAAGCCCTTAGAATTGGCCAGAGGAAGAGAGGTGAGATGCTGTGCATCCACACTGCCCACTCTTTGTACCCGCCTATTGTCACCCACCATTATTGGAAAAGTGGGTTATATTGCACTGTGTAGACCTTCTGTGGTGTGGCAGTATAATTATAACCTAAAATAACACTGCCACACCAGTGAAGCCGGGGAAAGTGGGGTCACAAATGATGAACCCCTGTGGTATTTTAAGTTATAATTTGAACCCCCCTTGTGTAATTGTAAATCCCATTTTCCCAGCCTTATTGGTGGAACTGTCAAAGAATTAGGCCTTGTTACACATGACGTTCTGACATTCCTGCAGCAGAAACATACAGATTCTTGTGACAGGAATGTCAGGTGTCCCACTTAGATGTGGCTGCTGTACCCACTGAAGTTAATGACCAGGTGATAGCGGCCATATCTGTAAGCGGCAGTCCGCACGTAATGTGCGTGATATGATTAAATGCAGTTTTGAATAGATCACTGTCTCTGGATGTACGTATCCTGCATTCAGGGACAGTGATCTATTGCAAACTACATTTAATCATATTGTATAATAATATATGCTGTAGTTCAGGCACCAGCGGGGGGTGCGGGTTGGGGGGGCCCTCTACAAAATTATGCTATGGGGCCCTTTGATTTCTAGTTACGCCCCTGCTTAACAATAATGTCATAATTAATCCCCTACATAATATCCACTTAGAACATGATATCCAATTGAAACAATACAATGAAAAAGCCATAAAAGCATATAAATAAACATATGAACATACTTAACAAATATCCATAGATCCCAGACATCAGAGATCATTAATAAATTCCAAACACCAAAAATTAGTATATAATCCCTTTTTATCTCCGATTGACCTAAGATAGCCTGTGTAGAACGGTATTGATTAAGTCATATAGGTAGGTCAGAGCCCTATACTCAATCTATCCAGTATCAGCACACTTTATTTATTGCTTAGAAAACTATTTAAGTCAAAATCAATATTAAGGCCCCTAGGGGGCAATGAATCCAATAGATAAATCCATTTAGATTCATTCTGGGATATTTTTCTGGTAAGGTTAGAGCCCCTCCAATGACTTTCAATCTTATCAATACTTATAACCTTTAGCCCTTTGGGGTCCCGATTATGAAAGATTCTAAAGTGTCTGGACAAGCCATGTTTATTAAAGTCCCCTTTAATATTGTTTATATGTTCTTCCAATCTTTTCCTAAGCTCTCTAGTTGTCCGTCCTATATATTGTAGCCCGCATGGTCATTATAACAGATATGTTACAAATTTACTCAGGCAAGATATAAATGTATTAATTCTATATTCCTTATTAATATTAGATTTAAACAACAATTTTCTTTTTGGTCCCTGTAGCTCTGCAACTCACACATTTTCTGCATGGGGAAAAAAACCTTTGCCCTTAAAAAAATTTTACGTAATGTACGGGCGGGTCTAAGACACTTTTAACCAATCTATTTCTTAGGACAGGTGCTCTCCTATATATGATAATTGGTTTATCATGGAGTAAGGGGCCCAAAAGTTTATTTTTTAAGGATATACCAGTGTTTTCTGAAGAAAGAAATGGCAAAAGACTCTTCTTTCCTCAAGGAGGGTTTTAATAATATATTTCTATCCTTCCCTAAAACATTTTTTATCCTATTTAAATCTTTATCCCTATAGCCCCTTTCTCTAAATCTCTCCATCAAGATATTAGATTGTGTCAGATAGTCCTTTGCTTCCGTGTAATTCCGTTTGATACGGGTTAATTGTCCTTTTGGAATTCCACCTAGCCACTTAGGATGATGACAACTGCATATGGGGATGTATCTGTTCTTAACCGTTGGTTTGAAAAAGGTCTTGGTAATAAATTTAGTTTAATTCTTATAAATATCTAGGTCCAAAAACTGGACATTGATACTGATATTACTTGTAAATGTCAAATTATATTCATTAGGATTTAAGGAATCAAAGAACAATTGGAATGTCGATAAATCTCAATTTATGGCTGTAATTGGTCAGGAATGAAGTTGGGAGCAAAGTTCAGTCCTTTTTTAAGATAGAAAGTTGTTATTATTATGATTGATATTTATTTAATACATATTGGCAACGGTTAAAGATCTTGATAGTCCCAATCCCTCTCTGAGGTAATAGCCACTTTTCCATTTGTGTTAGATCTTCCTCCCTCCTTTTGTGACTATATGTCTGAATTTAGCTTTTAGGACAAAGCCAAATAATACCATAAACCATTGTGGGATAATATATCTTCTCCTTTTAAAGGCTTAAGTACACATCTTTGCCACGCTGTTATTTTACTTTTTTTAGCTGAATGTTAGGCAGGCTGAATTACTGTTTATTTTATTGTATATTTGAGAAACTTTGCCTGAAAGATCTCCATATTAGAATTCCTGAACCTTCTCTCTCCCACTTTGTAATTTTAAGGCCTTATGTGCCTATTTGATGACTAATACATTAATACATGTGTATGTGTGTTAAAGTATGTTGCAACATACCCTTATTTGTCCTTCCTGTAAAACTTACCTGGATAGAGTGAGACAGGTGTCCTGCTGTTCTTCGTGATATACCAATGGTCCTTACTGCTTGACGAGCATAATCCTTTGCATCAGCAACAAGTAATGGTTTTGTCTTCAAGAATGTACTAAATGCTGTGATATTGGTCTTTACAAAAAATGTGACTAAGCTCTGAATAAAGATTCCCTTGGAAGAATATTCATAATGTAGACCTCGAGTAAAGTGATCCATGAAAGACTGGAAAAAAAAAGAACAGCAGACAATTAAAATGACTGGGTTTATATCACAATAAACTATACTTCTTCTCCATGGTAGGTATATCAAGCTCTTTTTTGTGAGGGTAAGGGTTTAACTGTTCTCTACTCAATCCACAACTACAAATTTTGAGGGGGCCACATTATGTCTACTGAGGGTTACACTTGTAGCACAATTTACTGTGACCCAGCAAATCAGTAAAAAAAAAGTACTTCAGTTGAGTATTTCTACAAATGTGATTGTGCTTAGCCACCCTCTTTTTTTGCTAGTTTCCAAGAAGCCTGACAGATGTTTGATATGTTTATTGTGTTCATTGCTGCTCCTGATTAATTACGTTAAAATGGAACCAAAGGTAAATAATAAAGAATTGTGAGCTGGTAGGCTCTTTACTACTATGTCTTTTTCCCCATAAAACAAGGTTACCTGCCTGTATGCAATTCTTTTTAGAATGTGCACTGAGCTGCGTATGCACAGCTTAGTGTAACACTCTCAGTAAGCCTCTGTGTGGTGAATGAATAAACAAACTCTTATGTGCATCCCTGGGAGTTACATGGCACCCTGAAGAAGATGTCAGCACCGGTGAGGAAGCTCATGTTAAGAAAATCCAATACAGAAATACATACATTCATTTTTAATTTTAAGTTCTATCACACTCCTAATAACCATGTGCATTTAGAAATTACTTATACACTTATTAAAGATGTCCATAGAATGTATTTCCTCAATGCACTGACACTATTTCACTGAATATGCACTTTTTCGTATCACCACTCTAAGCTTGCTTTCTGAACTACAGCTCAATGTCTGAACTTCCAACAATGTAACATTGCTGGAAGCAAAGCATGATGAGATATGTAATATGGAAAAATTGAGATTGTATCACTTTGCCTGATGCATGTAAAGCAAAGTATTGGGCAGACGGAAGGCAGCACTGACTACATTAAAGTGATTTTTTTTCAATGATCAAAAATAGCTCTAGTATGCATTCCTATAACAATGCTGATATTATAACAGGATAGTATATGATGGGACTTTTTGAACTCCTATAAGCATGTTGTTGAGGGTTGGGGTTTATGAAAAGTAAGAGCTGGATGAAAAAATATGCTTGGGTAAAGAGCAGCTGCAGAATACCCACTGTAAGTGCCTGACATGGCACCTGGAACTCAATTAAACTAACTCGGTGTAAAAATATATTTAATAAAACGTTTCCAATTAATACATAACTGGGTTATGTTTTATATCCACTAGGAGTTGCACTTTAAAGTACAAACACTGTGTTTTATACACAAAGGCCTTTTTAAACAAAAAAAAACAACAAAAAACTGTTTTTATATTTATTTTCTTCCAATCACTTCCTGTCCACATGCATGCACTTTAGCATGTCATTCTCAGGGTGCATGTTGTGATTTTCCACAGTGGAACATATGTATGTGCAGTGTTTGTCAGCACGGCTGCTTGTGACAACACAGGAAAACACATGGGAGACTGGGACAGAGTGTTGTCACCCTGTAACAAGAAGGGCCTTCATATCAGGATCACTAGGTATTAATTTTAAATAAAGTTGCACATAACTACATGTCCTGGTGTCATTGATCCTATATGCTGGTTATAATGTTATTGACCAAATATAGACCTGTGGCCATATAAGTTAATTGACATCACACCATTCCTCCCCCTTTGCTTATATGCAGATGTGGGTGGGGAATTCACTGGTTGCAGCTGATTCGGCAGCAGCAGAATAGGCTTCCTGCTGTGTTAGAAGGAGCTTAGGTTCACACTAGAATTCGGCCGAACCTGAGCGCCTCCCTAGTTGTAAACATTAGTTATACTTCTTCCATTCAAGCTGTGTTCACAGTAAATCAGTTACATTACCTTGGACGATGCGTATATGTTAATTAGAGGTATGGGTTTGACACATGTCGCAGAAGACACATTGACAATGGCTCCTCTCTTCCTCTGTACCATGCCTGGGAGAACTATCTTAACCATCATGACACTTGCTCCAATATTGACATTTATAATTTCCCATAGTTTATCTTCTGAAACATCTGCAGTTAACTGTGGATAATCATAAAACACTCCAACGTTGTTAATTAAAATGCCCACATCCACATTTTTTAGAGCCTCCTTAATATGAGAATATACTTTATGTCCCAAGTTGAAATCAGCCACAATGAAACGAGTTTTCACTCCGTATGTCGCAGCAATGGCTTCAGATACTTTATTAAGCTTTTCAGGGTTGCGGCTGACCAAGATGATGTTCATACCATGACTTGCCAGCTCTTCTGCATATGCTTTACCAATGCCGTCTGTGGCCCCTGTGGAAAAGAATTTGTGAGCTGCAGTGATTTTTTAGGGACTGCTGTGGTTTGTTGTGTAATACATAAGAATGGTCTGCCAGACATACTAATGTTATACTGAAAAGACATCCTTAGAGCAGCCATTTAATATTGATATGAATAGAAAAAAAATTGAATAATTATTTACCAATAGTGTTGCGCTGTAAAACAGTGTCTACAATCTAAATTGCAATTAAACATGTTATAGTGATACATATAAGTATAACTTAAAGCCATGTGCATAAATATTTTAGGAAATTAAATAAGAAAAATAATTTTCGTCCAACCCGGTAATAAATCAAGAGACAAGAACTAAATTTAAACATACGGACCTGGTAAATCTACTTGTAATCCCATTATCAAGAATAATAAATATGTAGATATGTTCAAGAAAATGGTAATACAGAATGATGATAAATTGCAAATTAAGCCAACGAGAACAATAAGGAACTGGCAATTAGACCTGCGGATAAAGGAAGGGCAATAATAATAAATAAAAAGGAAAACCAGATCGAGATGGAACGGTTTTTGTTGGACCCTAATACTTTTGAGGTGTTCTATAAAGACCGCACTAAGATATATTCTTAAAAAATTGTTGAATCTCATTAAAAAGGCTCTAACCAGGGAATTTTAACTAAAAAAGAAAGTAAGTATTGACGTCAGTAGAATGTTGTTTACCAGTATTATACTAGAGGTCAGAATTTCAAGTCCTGAGCTACTAGCCAGGCCTTAAGAGTTACTCGCCACCAGTTGCCCCAGCTAACCCCTACCCTGCCCCAGCCTTAACTCTGCCCCTAAACACACCCTCTTAAATAATCTTATAAATGACACTGTTACATGTTTTATGCATATCCCTGGTGATCAAGTGGTGATAAGTAAGGTCTGCTCCATTCTTTTTCGGCCGGAGCTCAGTGAAAAGCTGCGGCTGCAAGGAACAGACAGCCCAGCCAGAAGTAGCTGCTCCCACAAGTCAGGTATGCGGTCCGTGACTGCATATCTGAATTTCCACTCGCCTGCACTGCATTTCCTCTCTCCAAATGCAAGCAGGCAATTTTGAGCCTTGATTATACTATCTACCAAAAATGTATAAAAATCAAGTTAAACCTCCAGGGAGACCTATAGTAAAAGGGGATAGGTTCAGTAATGAGCAGACTGGGAGAATATGTTGATCGTTACTTACAATCGTTAATACAAAGTAGCGAGCCCTATTTAAAGGATTCTAAGCTATTTATAAAGATGGTAGAAAGACTACGGTTAGAACAAGAAAGGTATCTAGTCACTGCTGGTGTGAGCTCCTTATACACAATAATCATCTGGAAGCCCTCAGCAGTGATATAATCATCTGGAAGCCCTCAGCAGTGATATAACTTCAAAGGGATAGAAATTTAGAACTGGCACAAAAGGAGTTTTTACTGGAGTCACTCGAGGTTAGTTTAAATAGGAATTATTATGGCAATAAGTACTACAGACAGAGTAAAGGAGTTGCAATGTGCGCTAAACTCGCGCCGAGTGTGGCAAATGCCTTTATGCTGAAGTCGGACACCGAAACAATCTTGAAAAACAAACCTGGGCAACTTTTATTATACAAGAGGTATATTGATGTTGTGGTATATGAATGTTATGGAATGGTAGGAAAGAAGATTGAATTATGTTCCTGGAAGGGTTAAATAGTAAAAATATAATGCTTGCATATCAAAAAATCAGACTAAAATACACTTTTTAGATATGGAAATACAAATAGAAAATGGCCATCTATATACTAAAACCTATTTTAAAAAAACAACTGATAGAAACACATTTATTCCGACCACAAGTTGCCACCATTCAATATCTCTAGGGGCAGTTCTTTAGAGTAAAGAGGAATTGCACTAGGGATATTGATTATAGGACACAAGCTGAAGTTATTAAAGGTTCATACAGCTAGGATATAAGGGTACATTTTCTGGAAGGGGGGAAGACAGCGCCTCTCGGTACAAACGATCACTTGCACATGAACAGCCATCGCTGGCTGTTTAAAAATGACACCAATAACATGGCTGCTGCAGCTGTGTTCTTGATTTAACAACTTCTGCGACCCGCCGTATATATACATATTGCGGCCCAGAAGTGGTTCATTTAAGAGTCTAAGCACCAAGCACTACAATGGTGGCAGTGGTGAGATTCTTTTATTTCAGGTCATAAAGTCAAGCCAATACACTAAATTTGTCCATTGTCTGGTGCTGTCCTCTGCACTAACCACTCTGAGGTCTAGCCCTGGTGGTCTTCCAGAACCTGTGGCTCACAGAAGAATGTAGAAGAAAATAGCAACATGCCATCATATGGTGCTATTCTCTGCAGCATTCAGGACCCAACCACTGTCAGAGGAAGAGAATCTGTGATGTCAAATGGCCAAATCATAGACCCACAGAAAAAGGTATGTATCCAAATGTTTGGCTTTGAAGGGAACTCTACAGGTCCTGCAGGAGCACATTCCTGATATGTAATAATATACAGCATCACTATAATTTTCAATAACCTCTACCATTTATCACTAAAAAGCAGTACATTTGCCTAGACTGCCATCAGTTTGCTGCAGGCAGGAGAAAACATTTTCTTGTCTCCTAGAATACCTATGTAAAATGTTTTACAATAGATTTCAAATATATATATCATTTTATGAAGGATATTGGTGTATGATTTAGATATAAAACCAAGTACCCTGGCCAAAAGTCATGCATTGTTCATTTACCTTGTAGGTATTTTTTTTCTGTCATTTTATTAGCATCTGTTGCTAATTGCTATTAGAAGCAGATGTAAATATACTTAAGATCCCCATAACAACAGTTCTGCTTTGTGTTAAATGTATTGTCCTTTTTTTCTTTTGAAAGGATTCTGGATTCCAACAGTTCTGCTTTGTGTTAAATGTATTGGCCCTTTTTCTTTTGGAAGGATTCTGGATTCCAGATTTAATCTAAACCATAACCATGACTTTTAAAAGAAAAAAAACTTAGTGGGTAGCAGTAAACTTTAGCTGGAGGACATTAACAGGGTTATTCACAAAGCTGTTGGAAGGAGCTGATCAGCCATTACTAGGACATTGCAAATAAACTCCACTTTTCCAGACTCTGGAAGCTATGTCACAAAGATGTTTGGAAGTATTCTGGATTCCAACAGTTCTGCTGTGTGTTAAATGTATTGGCCTTTTTTTCTTTTGGAAGGATTACAGATTCCAGAGTTAATCTAAAACATGACCATGACTTTTAAAAGAAAACAACTTAGTGGGTAGCAGTAAACTTTAGCTGAAGGACATTAACAGGGTTATTCACAAAGCTGTCGGAGGCACCCAAGTGAATACCCAAGCCGTAGTGAAGTGAGCCGAACAAAGTTTAGCTATTCACTACGGCTCAGTAATGCTGATTTCAGCCGTACATGGGCTGCCTTCGGTCAGCCGAAGTGCAGAAGTACTTCGACTCAGCCGATCCAACATCTGGATCGACTAACATAAAGCTTCGGCAGCTCACCCGCTGCCGTTCGCCCCTATTCACATGGAGGTTGAACGACAGTGAATAGCCGAATGCCACCAAGCGGCATTTGGCTCGGCTATTCTGCTTGGTACAGAGCAGAATAGCAAATAGTGAAAAAGTTTTTTTTTTTAAAGTTGAAAATATATTTTAAAAAATGTAAATATTGAAACAATTGAGCGGAGCTAGCATTGACGGCTGGCACCTCCCAACTGTTTCCTATTGGCCGAATGAATAACGGGGGCGGAGCCGGCTGTGACGTCACAGGCGGCCCCGCCCAGTTATTGTTTCATGACAGTTCAGCGTCCCCAGCTGTCATTTGTGGGGCTTACGGCCGGCCCTTCGGCAGGTCGTTCGCCACGTTTCGGCTGACACTTCGGCTCATTTGAGCCAAGGCATATGCCTTCAGCTCGGCTGCTTTCGGTTGCTGTAAGGGTTATTGTGAATAGCCCATACAGCAGCCCTTTGGTTCAAGTGAACCGAAGGGCTCCCGCAACCAAAGCTAGCCGAAGTGGCAGCCGATGCTTCGGCTAATCCTTTGGCTAGCTTTATGAATAACCCTCTTAGTTTGCAAAAAGAGTTGTCCCTTCATACCAAGAAGTACTTGAAGGAGGCTCCTTGCAACCCTGAGCCTCTCTCTGCTCTCCAATCCTTCCCAGGTCCTTGTGGGTTCCTCCTTCCTGGCTCCCATCCTCTCCATGGCTACATCAGCCTGGGCTTTGATCTTTGGCACAGAGCCAGCAGATCAAAAAGGTCTGTAAATCTTCTGGGCTGTACACTGAGCAGACCCACAGTGATCTTCCTCCTGGCCCCCCTCAAGTATTCAGATCACAGGAGCCCCGCTGTGCTCCTGACAGCAGGGGTCTAGACACTGGGCACTGAGATGCCTCGGTACACACACCCCGCCAAAGCAGACAACCCAGAACAAAAGACACATGGGGGGCTGAGGCTAGCTGCTCAGCAGGTCTGCTGGGATCTGTTGTCCCTCCCTGCTTTTTGCTGCTGAGGTTTGCATTTGATGTTCCTCCCTGCTGAGTTCTGCAGCGACTTGTTGTTCTGACCTTACTGGACTTACCCATATTTTGCTTTGGGACGCTCTTGTGGATTAAATCTTGCTGCACCTCTGATTCTTGCCACTGCTACCTCTGTGACTTACTCTTTCCTGTGCCCCATTGCCTACCTTCTGGCTTTGTTCTCGTATTGTCCTGCACCTCAGGGCATAACCCCGGCCTCAACACCTTACTTTGTATCCCAGAAATCCCCGATAAACATCCCGCAAAGTGCGGTCCTGTTTGATTCACCTCAAGGATTGTCATGTGTTATTTTTTAAAAGCTGCAGATCTAAAAATACATTTTAGAGTTAAAATTAGATTAATATGTTGAAGATTATGTTAGGTCTATATCTTGTAAATGTTACTGGGCATCTGTACAATCACATAGCCAGTGAAATTCTGCCGAACAGAATTCCAAACAGAACGAGCACCACAACACAGGCTGGAAATCCATACCTAGTGTGATAGTCTGTAGGCAGATAATTTTTTTTTGCTCTGTATATTATGAATATTCCAGGGAACCATGGTAAGTAGGAATACATAGAGAGACAATTCAATAAGGGTGTAATAATAAATTAATAACATAGATTCCCAACCTAGGGCATCCTTAAACACAGGGAGGAGTGAGAGAGATTATACACAGAAAGGTGAGAAAAGGATTATAAATAAAATCAACACAAATGAACTTATGAACATAATAAGAACACAGGAAAGTGAGAAAAGGGGGTGTAGGGGTACAATACACTAGTTATTTGTAGTAAGGAAGATGTAGCAATGTTATTGTAGATTTAAGATCACTTCTATATCAACAATAGAAGGAAAGAGTAGAGCTGAGTAACCAGAATGGGTTGAGGTAAGATAATAGGAGGGTTCGTCTGAGGACTTGTTTGATTTTCTGGTGTTTGCACTAAAGGTTCACATAGAGACACAGGTCTATAAGACTGATCTACCCCCCCTCAGGAGAGTAACTGTAAGAGAGAGGATAGGATGTAGGATGATGAAATGAAAGGTGTCTGACAATCTATTTCTGTTAATAATGTATGAATAAGTAATGGAAATGTATATGCATTTTATAGTACTAATGATATGTAAGAATGCTTATTTGAAAGCAAATAAGTGTATATTGATGAAACAAGAATAAAAATATATTAAACTAAAAAAAGGGAATACATAAAAGAAAATGGCACTATGAAAACCAAACATAACTCCATTATGTGATTTTATTCTGCAGATTTTTTCACTCACCAGTAATTATAGCCCATTCTCCATACTGTCTGATATGCTTGGTCCTGCTTAAAAGACATGGAGTGACATACTGCTGTACCATTGTATACCAGAAATGAAGGAGGCGGAAAATGTTCCACATGATGATAAAGACTCCAACTGCAGCCAGGATCTCCAAGTGAGTTGAAAACATATGAAACATCCCTTTGGATATCAACACAGGGATCGAATACACCCCATTCACTAACTCCATTACTCCACTGAATCCAAATAGTTCCATCTAAAAATTAAAATGGAAAAAAAAAAGAAGTCACCTACAACAACAAATTGGATTACAGTTATGATGTTTGTAGTATGTGTTAGAAAATGTAGACATTAAATGAATCCCTTGTCATGGCTCCCAACATTTTAAGACAAATGAATTGATAAAAAACCTATTTTTTTTATACCTGCTATGGTATAAATATGGGGATTTCCCGTTCTATCCTCCTTATATAAATGCTAGTTGCTTTGCTGTATTATGCATGCTAAGCAATTATTGAAGCCATTGGATTAGCTTGACAGCCAGAGAGCTTGTATTTTCAGAAGCACAGGTTATCATTGAAAGCCTTGACTTTTCCTTATCACATTTTTGAAGACCAGGGTGTTAAATCAGGTGTAGTGGCTGCACAGGGAGCCACTACACCTGTGGCCAGGGGCTTCGTTTAGCGGGGGTCGGTGACAGCGCCCTCAGCTCTGCGCCCGGTGCAAGCGCACTGCCTGCCCCCGGTTGTTACACCACTGGCAGGGGGGCTCTTTAGCCGCCTTAACGCTTGTATTTAAATAGCCATCGCCTGCTCTTTTACTGTTTTGGTGATTTTCCCAGCTGGCACCGCACATGAGTGGGAGTGGGGAAAGACGTCTTAAAACGCCCACCCTCATCTACAAGGCTCCCGTCTGGACGGGAGGTGGTTAAAGCTGAACTCCAGGCAGATATAACAAAATACTAATAATTAAACTACATTTTTGAAGAGACCTTATTAGCTCACTCTTGGAAAGAAGACATTTTATACTTGCCTCCCAGCTTGTGTTAAACCGGAATCTCCAGTCTGTTGCAGAGCTCTTGGTACTGTGGTTCCTCTTGCAGACCCCAATCTCACAAATGTGTCCTGTTGTGATATAGGGAAATGTTTTATTTTTTAGGATCAATAAGCTTGGAAAAGGAATGGAACTCCTTCATGCACCAAAAGGGTATTCGAGAAGTAAACGGGCAGAAGGGCCCTTGGTCTCTATACACAGAGATCACATCCCAATAACAGAGTTTAGACTAACATGTCTTTGGGTACATTGTGCTCATAAACTGATCGACAATCCTAATGGTGTTTGTGAAGTCAGTAAGGGCACAGCTAGATGATGTCGTTATTGAGGCTATGTGGCAATAACTATGACAACTAGAAATATTGTTATTACCACCAATAGGGGCATTTTTATAAAACAGCAAATGTGACATTCACCATTTATTCACTGCAGGTGACTTAAAAAACATGCATTTGTAAGATACACCTACAATAAATGCTTGGTATATGTCACATTTACTGCTTTAATGTTTCTGTCTCTATTTCACCTTGATCTTTTTGTACTTCCCTGCTTCTGCATGTTTCTGTAGTTTTATCTTAATTTGCTTATTGGCAAATATGTATATAGTGTGGAATCTAATATTTTCCAAGCAAGATTTCTAAAAAAAATATAAATTTCAAATTAAGATTAATAAAAAACAAAACAAACTACCATGCTAATTCTGACAGAATGAGAGTATGACAGGTCTGCATAAATGCAAAATGCAATTTTTTTTACTTTATTGGTGGTTGTAGATGTGTAATTCTATACAGTGGTTTTGTTATAATGCAACAATTGTTTAAACAGTTGTGTGCCTAATAAAATAATTACATTTTAGAAGGTACACGCGCACACACACACACACACACACACACACACACACGTGCATTGGCAGTAAGCACAGAAGTGTGCATTAATGCATGTATTGGTGCAGTGGCAGTATGTGAGCAGTTAGAGAGGATGCGGTCAGGTGCAGTGGTGAGGGGAGATGCAAGTACAATGGTGACAAGGGAGGGGGATGTAGATGTAGTGGTGGCGGTGCAGGTGTAGTGGCGATGGGGTAAAGCCACAGTAGGAGAGAGGGGAGCAGGTGCAGTAGTGGGGGTGCAGATGTAGTGGTGTGGGATTTCAGGCATGTTCGTGGTGGTGAGGGTGCAGAGTTTGTCAAGAGCCAAAATATTTCAGAAGGTACCAGTCAGGTACAATGCCAACATGCAGTGTCCCCAATAATAAAATACCAGAATAGGCAGAGGGGAGGATTGTTATAGTCAGAGACAATCCAAGGGACCCAGGCACAATGGAAGCATATTGTGCTGCCCAGTCGGGGAATGGTAGCACACAGTGACTGCAGGTGTCTGACAGCTAGCTCTATTCTCCGAGCTGCAACACGTTTGGTGGGCTATGTGTTTCTATGTGTGGCAATGGGAGCTGCAATGTGGCCACTTTCCACCTTGAAGACTAGTCACTATTGTATATGCATCAGATTTCATCACCATATTGCTAGCAACATTATGCATGTGCAGCAGTGACTTAAAGTAGTAATAATCTATCAAATGTTTTTTTCAACAATCAATCTAGATCAAACAAATATACAATAAGGTATTTACTTGCAGTTTTGCACAGGGCAGAGCAGTCTCTAACAGCTGTCCATATAATAACTCTGAGAAAGGAGGAGGAGAGTAGATTGCATTGCTGTGCCTGTGTGTTGTGGAGACACACACAGCTTACTCTGAGAGATACGTTCTGCACATACCAATCTGCTTCCGAATGTCATCTTAATTAACGTACTTGCAGCATGATACAAGTCAATGCACAATAAAGATGACATTCAGAAGCAGATTGGTGTGCGGACAACTTATCTTTCAGTGTTTTTTGTGGTGCCATCCACCGATTGTTCCAGAACCCAAGGAATTAAACAGAAGGGAGCTACCAGTATGGTGTGCAGTGGAGACATTTTCATTGTTGACACACAGCTTACTAACACACAAGGGTGGCTCCAACTGATTCTGCAGGTAGCTAAAACTTTTAAACATCAAGGAGCAGCATCCATTGAAAGTGGATTATTCAACATCTGAAATAGCTTAAAAACATTTTACTTTAATATCATTTTTAATACTTCTTCAGAATCTTAAATCTTCAGAATTTTGCATTTCTCAGTAACAATTTTCAATCCAGCTGACAAAACATTATGAGCCCCTAAACAACTAACTTCATGCATATGATCATGTTTTGATCATTAAATCAGATTTTCAACCTGAAAATAATGTGGAAACTAACTTTAAGAAATGTGTAGAGAAAAATCATTTGTAAACATGGTGTCAGCTGTGAGCCACCCAAAACACATATTCCCTTAAAATCAACAGGACTTCAATATAATGTCATCAAAACAGCTTGATATTTCAAAATATTGTAATTTTTATATAAAAACAGTAATTATATATTTACGTATTAGGAAAAGTAAAAAACACATATGCAGAAAGGAAGAAAAATTACTTTAAAGTTCAAAGCGGCCTACCTTAGCAAAGGCTTGGTATACACGGCGACAACTGGTTTTGTTATCTTGAATGACCTGTTGCGTGATCAGATGACATTGTAAAATGAGCATGAGGTGGCTATATATATGTAGATTTTATAGTAATAGTAAATACCTAAGACAGAGCATTTCACAATGTAAGGTTCAGTAAGGAGCCAAAGCTTTAAAAGTATGCTTGCAACAGAAAAAACTTTAATAAGGGAAAAGGGCAGAGAGTGGGGGAAGTGATAGAGGCGGTCTCATCTGTATCAGCAAGTAAAAAAAACCTAGAAGTATGGATATCTGAGACGGTGAAGAGTAGGAAAAAAAAAATGTTTTTAGCCACTTTTTTTGTTGAGAAAACAAGGCTATGGGCTGCTTGCAGGAATAATTATTTGCAGACATAACAGTAAATTACCGATGTAAAGGTACAGGGATAAAAAAAATAGATAATAAAATAATAAATAACCATATGATTAAAATGGTGGCATACATGAATACATTTAAACAATAACAAAGCTCTTATTTAGAGCATTGCTTGAAAAACGTATACAAAAGTTATAGACTTGCAATGGGGCTAAGACAAAAATGTAATACCAATGAGTGCAATGAAGATGAAGGTATGAATAATTAATACAAAAGAATAGAAAACCAAATACAAAAACATATTTTTGCAGCCATTAGTCTTTTAACCCCTTCATGAAAGAGAACTCTACGTCCCCAGCATAAAGTGCCCAACTGACTGACCACGTACACAGTAATTGATCAGTTATTGGAGCTTTTAAAAGCCGGTAACCGCTGAGATCAACGGTTACCATTCATTAATGGATGCCTCAGTATTGAGGCATCCATTAATAAAGGAATCAAGCTTTTGTAAAAGCTTAATTCTTTCATAGATGAAAGAATTAAGCTTTTACAGATTACCTGATCGTTGTCAGTGATTGAATATCTGACAATGACAACAGAGCCATGTGAATGGCTCTGCTATATCACTGTTTTGACAGATTGGGATCTGTTTTGACAGCTCTGTACAGATCCCAATGTGTACAATGTTTCATTGTGCTACATATTTCTATGCTTCATAGAAATATGTAGCACAATGAAACATTGTATCAGACTTCTGATTGTTCTGAGAACATCAGAAGTCTTTAGTGACATCTGAATCTGACATGCTGCAGGATTAGTGTGACTAAGGTTATTATTGGCTATTCCTAAGTTTTAAGCAGCCTAATAACAATCAAAAAGTTAAAAAAAAAAAGTTTAATTATTATGTAACGAAATAAAAATAATTTAACAAAATAAAAATGATATTTCAACCTATAATTATACAAATGAACCCTTTACGAGGGAAATGTACAGCTGAGCTGCAGATGTTTTTCAATTTTTTTTAATTTACAGATCCGTGCTGGGGATGGATCCTGTCTGCATCCGAGCAGGGACACCCGCAGTGCGCAGCATGGATCTGTACGGGCCGGCTGCTAGTCATGTGAATGAGGCCTAAATGTAAGTTCAAGATTATATTTTTTACTTTTAGAAAAGCTTGGTGGAGTTATAATTGGAGCAAAAGCAGATGTTTTGCCTGTGATATTGCAACTTGCAGGTGCAAAACTATGGGTTCCAGCCAGGGATTCATAGCTGAGTGAATACAGCGTGAATAAATAAAAAAA